CATAACTCTAGGTCTCTCCTTGAAAATACAAGACTCTTCTGTTTAAGTCTTGAAACATTGTGAATATGAAAATCAGTACGTCCTTTTTTTTTTAGTAAGAATCATAATGTAAGACTAATTAAAAATGAAACACACTCCCTTCCTTCCTCCTGATACAACCTGTATCGGGCAGGGCTCCCCGTCACTGGAGAAGCAGATGTGACTGCTTTCTTTTCTGTATTTCTCCCTGGGCTGGATGTCAGTACTTCTGGTCCCTTGAGGATTGGCTATGAGAGCGGAAAGGAAGAAGGCCACAAAGCTCTGGACTGATACGGCTGGAAGATGTCATCATGTTGTAGGCCTTGCAGGAGTTCAAAGCTGACTCTGTCATGAGGGTTTTCAAGGTCTTTGGCTGTGTTTATCTAACCATGTGGCTGTAATGATTCTTTTACCTCAGTGGCCACTGCTTCTCCTGCTGACTCTCAGCTCACTCATACAGACCTGCTTTGGGGATAGGGGTTCACCTCTGGTAGAAGACCTCCCACAGGCTGCAGCACTTTTTAGACTATTAGTTGCTATTTTCCCCACGTACTCCACATCTCATCTCTGACAGTCAGGCATTCTGCTTTGTGTCAGAGGTAGATGCAGTCATGTTTCTTTTTCTGGAACTCAGGGCCGCATGTACGCTAGGCAAGAACTCTACCACTGATGTACAGAACTAACCTCAGTCACTATGCAAAGCAGAAGGATCTCTTGCCTGACACTTCTTCCATAGCCTTTGTGCCGTGGGAGGTGAGTGGACGAGAGCCTCTTCTCCGTGAGTGGCAGTCAAAATAGTGCAAGAGGGCAGCTCGTGGAGGCAAGGGTAGAAGCAGGAACCTTTCGTTAGGAAACTAGATGTGTGCTAGATTGGTACTAGATAGTATGCAACAGAATCTCAATCTACAGATTGACAGGGAAGTTACTGATTTTATGGAATAAAAAATCTGAGCATAAGCATCTCAGGGTTGGTAGATCGGCTTCATGACATCATCAGGGAAGGATCCTGCTTGTTTCTTGTGACAACATTTTCAGCATGTGGCTTTTAGGGTACCAAGATGACTTCCGTAATGCCAGGTATCATGTTCTAGTTATAGACTACATAGGAAGAACTGAAGGAGAAAAGGGCAAACATATGGGCCTGTTTGTCTGCTCCTTTTAGTAGTAGTACAATAACAGCTTTCCTAGAAACACTGAAGCAGGCTTCTGTTTATATACCATTTGCCAAAACCATGTCAACAGACCACCTCAAGCTCAAAGGGAGACTAAGAAATAAAAATAGTTCAACTGGAAAACAGACGTTGCTGGCAAAAAAAAAAAAAAAAAAAAATCAGTATTGTCTAAGTAAAGGAGAGGTCATAAATTTTGGATAGGGAATTAGCAGTGAGCACCAAGAGTACTCATTTATTATATTCTCATGTTCTAAAAGATGCTAAAGTGTTAACCACATAGTGATTTTTTTTAAAAGCACTAGTCATAAACAAAGGAGAAATAAGAACAAGATTTAAGAGAAAAAAGTAGATGGAGTTCATTCACAAAATGGGCCCTAAGCTTTATAGCAAGAAATTCAAGAAAACATAAAATGTTCTTCAAAAAAAGGTCTGCTTGGGGCCGGGGATTTAGCTCAGTGGTTCTGCTGCCTGCCTTGCAAGCCAAGGACCCAATTTCAATCCCCGGTACAAAAAAAAAAAAAAAAAAGGTCTGCTTGTTTATGAGGTGTGCTCCACAAGGCATAATAAAAAGGACAGGAGTGGGTGAGTAACCATGATTAGGAGAGAGTACATTCATCCCCCAATATCCAGAAGGGATTTTGTCCAAGGCCATCACCCCCAAGAATACCAAGATTCATGAATACTCAAGTCTTTTACATAAAACGCCATAGTACTCATTGGATTTCTTTTGGTTTTTTTTTGGTACCGGGGATCAAACTTGGGACCTTGCGCTTGCAAGGCAGGCGCTGGAATCACTGAGCTAAATCCCCAGCCCCCTCATTGGATTTCTTTTATCCAAGATGCTTGGGACCAGAAGTGCTTCAGATTTTAGGATTTTTAAAAGTTGCATATACACAATGAAGCATTGTTGAGGAAGGCACTTAAGTCTAAACATGAACTCCTCTATGTCTCTTTATACACAGAGCCTGAAGAAAATGTTATACAATATTTTTGAGTGCCTGTATTTTGATTGTGACATGTCATAAGGTCAGATAAGGGATTTTCCATTTGTGGTGCCATGTCAGGACTCTAAATGTTCTGGTGTTTTTCAAATTAAGGATACTCAATCTGTATTTGCATATAACCTATGGAATCCTTTATATATTTTAAATCATTTCTAGCTTACAGTATATAACACATTGTAAATGCTATGTACATAGTTGTTGTATGTATTGTTTAGGGAATAATGACAATGAAAAAAGTTTATACAAATTCACTACAGACACATTTTTTCCCATATCTTTTCAATCCACAGTTGGTTGAATCTTTTTTTTTTTTTTGGGTAGTGGGGACTGAACTCAGGACCTTGTGCTTGTGAGGCAGGCTTGGTGCCACTGAGCTAAATCCCCGGTCCAGTTGGTTAAGTATTGATTCAGAACTCACAAATGCAGAGGACCAACTCTAAAAAGCAGTATGCTTAAAATAGGATTTTTATCTAAAAATAGGATAACAAGTATGGCTTGTATTAGGCACCTGTTGCAGGGAATTTTTTTTCCATTGACCTTTTTTTTTTTTGGTACCGGGGGATCGAACTCGGGTCCTTGTGCTTTCAAGGAAGGCAGCGAAACCACCGAGCTAAATCCCCGGCCCTCCATTGACTTTTAGTCCATGAATTTCTTTGGGGATTAAATGTGTTTCTTGTATTTTGTTTTCTCGTCCAAGCTACAAATCTCTGTCTTTTGATTAGGGAGAGTTATGACTGAATTAAGTTATTAAGAGTTATTACTGAAAGCTATTTACTTCTGTCATTGTATTATTTTCCTGTTCAGGATTTCTTTTTCATTTTTTCTTTCTGCTTAACTGGTTATCCTACTTGATATATTTATTCCACTAGACATCTGGAATCATTCACTTTATTTTCCTCTTTCTAGTTTATCCTTGAAAATTTTGAGGGATGCTGGTTTGATGTCCAGGAATTTAAGGTACTCTTTTTCATGGGAAAACCTGACTTCTCCATCAATTTAGAAAGTTATTTTTCCAAGATATGTAAGTCTTATTTGAAAATAATTTTATTGTATGGCTTGAAACACTTCAATCTAAACTCTCTTGGCCTTTAAGACTTGTGTGGAGAAGTTTGTTATTTACCTCTGTGTGATCCATTGCTTTTCTCTAATAGCTTTTAAGGTTTTATCCTTGTATTGAATTTCTGGGATTTTGACTCTGAAGTCATGGCGAAGTTCTTATGGTAGCATTTGTGTGTGCAAGTGTGAGAGTGAGACAGAGACAGACAGACAGACACAGACACACACATACACACAGACATCACACTGGAGATTGAGCCCAAGACCTTTCTATCTAGCTACATCCCAAGCCCTTTAAATTTTTTTGTTTATATTGAGACAGGGTCTTGCTAAGTCACTAAGTTACACAAACTAGATTCCCAATTTCCAGTCCTCCTACCTCAGTGTCCCAGAGTGCTGGCATTATTGGTGTGCTCTACCACATCTGGATATCCAATATTTTGAAAGAGAGACAGCATATAAGGATTGGGGAAGATTGTGGAGGTAATTTTGATGGTCATGAGGACAGAGATGAACCAAATTTTAGAATTCCTTGGCTTTGAGGTTTAAAACAGCCTCAAGCTTAAAGCACATATGGTGTCACAGCAGATGAGCCTAAGTATCTTGGTTAGAAGTCTTTCACCTTTACTGGTACTCTAAATAGAACACTGCATGGGCTGTGTTGCCAGCTCAAGAAAGATCTGGCCAGATGGGTGTGACATGGTTCTGAAGTTCTCCCACCGAGTGGCTGAAAAGGAGGCAGGACACTGTTAAAGGATGGTCACACCCTCACTGTAATTTGGGACCCTATGTGACTTAAAGGCTACAGTTTACTTTTAATGAAATTTGAAATTCTCTTCAGTATACTAGTAATCACGGCCCTAAAACTGTCTCTTCATGAACAAAAATTTGTGGGTACTTTGTGCCACTTTTATACATGATCACATAAGTACTATTGAATCTAAGACACCAGTATCTTTTTAATGTAGTTGCTTGTTTTTCTAAATGTCTTCAATAGATTCCAAATGAATAAGGGTCTTGTTTTTCAAATTCACAGCATTTAGCAGAATATCCAACAAATATTAATTGCTTAATACATATTTAGTTCTTTGTTCTTTTCTATTATTTGCTTCTCGTAGATTGTTTTCTTCCATTTTTACTTAGCACACAACTGATAATTATTTTGTTTGTGTGGTGATGGGGATCGATCCAGGGCCATGAGTATGCTGGGCAAACATTCTACTTGTGAACTAGTCCCTACCTGCCCCCTCCCCCTCCTCCCTCATAGACTCTTTTTTGGTACCAGGAATCAAACTCAGGACCTTGCCCTTGCCAGTCAGGTATGGTGCCACTGAGCTAAATCCCCGGCCCTTCCTCACAGACTTAAAAAAGAGTACTATGATAAATCTTGGTTGAGGCCATAATGGCATAAAAAATAGTTAATTTTTTAAAAATCTGGTGTAAAAGCTGTTTCCAGAGCTAAGGAATTTGAATGTCATATTTTCTTTTTGTATACTAATAAAACATTTAAAAAATCCACATGCTGAATACACCTGACATTAGAATTTTAGAGAGTGAATACTGCACCTCTAGCAGGAGTGGAATGGCAGGCAGATGTTATGATTTCTTCCTTGAAGTATATCTCCTCTATGTTCTTCCTGACTCTTCCTACAATATTGTCCCGTAATATCTAAAATCTATTTTCTTTTCTACATTTTACCTATAAACCTGTCAATAATGTATAAAAAAGCAAAATTAAATAACTACAACATTGTTTTAAGACTATGGTTTATTTGTACAGCAGTTCCTCAAAGAATTAAACATAGAATTATGATAAAACTCAGCAATTTCACTCCGGTTATATGCTTAAAAGCATTCAAATATTGGAAAGCAGAGAGGCAATATTTATATACTCATGTTCCTAGAAGCATGAGTAGTAATAGCCAAAAGGTGGAAGTAATTAAAAGTAGCATATACACATACTGGACTATTATTCAGCCCTAAAAAGGAAGGAAACTCTAGACACGTGAGTGGGCCTCAAAGATCTTATGTTAAGTGAAATGAGGATAAATACTGTGTGGCTCCATTTATAGCAGGAACGTGGTACAGTCAAATTCATGGAGTGGAGAATGAAAAGAGTACTCAGACAAGACTTGGTCCAAACACGGAGAGGCCCAGAGCGACTTTCCCGTGCACACTCACAGTCTCAGGGGACCTGTGCTGAACCGAGAACTCTCTGGCTTTTACCGTGGGAAACACAGGAAGATAAACAGTGTGGGTGTCAAGGAACAAGGCCTGGAACAAAACATTTTTTTGTGAAGCTGAGCAATTTATTGGGAAGGGAAAGGTCGAAGGTCGAGCCGAGTATGCTTCCCAACCTTTACCATGCATCCCAAAGCATGCGTGCTTTTGCCCCACAATTCCTTTCTTAATTTTTTTTTGTTTGTTTTCTTTGCTTTTGTTTTGTTTTGTTTTTGAGGGTCTCACTATGCAGTTCAGGCTGATCCTGAACTCACTATGTAACCCAGGCTGGCCTGGAACTCACAGTGACCCTCCTGCCTCAGCTTCCCCAGTGCTGGGATTACAGGTGTGCACCACTACACCTGGCTCCTTTCTTAATCGTTAACTATACACTGCAGAGCCTGCGTGCTTTTGCCCCACAGCCTCCTTCATGACTTTAATCATTTATTCCTCTGGCCAACCGTCTCATGTATCCCCTTCTTTTGTTTTAAGCATTAGGGATTGAGGAGAAGAGGAATGTAGTCAGGTATTGGGCTTGCTGCAGGAAGTTGTCATGGCCTCAGCACAATGCGTTCGTTGGAACAGCACACAGAGAGCTTTTAGGACTGCAAGAAAACACAACAGAAATATTATTCCTATAGCAGTAAGTATCCAGATATGAAAGTTGAGGCCAGAGAGCCAGTTTTGGGGGTTGAGCCAGTAGACAACAGCATTAAGATGGTCTAAAGTGACGTTGTGAACTTGCATTTAAAGTTTGTGAATCTGGGCCTTCAGTTGGCCCTTGGAGACAGGAAATCTCCCCAGTAAGATCCGTGTGAAAAGCACCATGGAGCATGCATTGGACCTCATCCCAGGAACCACAGCTGTTAAACGGGATGGGTGTTATGCACACAAAGTGACATCCTGCATCACATTAAGTCGAGTGCACGTCCGAACAGCCTACTGGTGCTCTCTGAGCCAAATGACAGCAGCCTCAAGAGTATCAGGAGGTTGTAAGATTTCTTTGTCAATGCTGGTCTGTGTCAGCAACTCACAGGTAACTTTTTTTTTCTTTGAGACAGGGTCTTGCCATGTAGTTCAGACTGTGTACCCTAGGCTGGTCTCGAACTCCAGGTGATCTTCCTGCCTTGGCCTCCAGAGTGCTAGGACTATAGGTGTAGGACAGCATGCTTGGCAAAGTAATATTCTGAAAGTAGCTGTCCATAGTTTGAGAAGTTTGTACTAGTTTTTTTTGGTACTGGGGATCGAACTTAGGACCTTGTGCTTTCGAGGCAGGCGGCAGAACCACTGATCTAAATCCCTGGCCCAGTTTGAGCACTTTGTAAGGAATGGGTCAAAGCAACTGCTGTGGTCACCACTGTGGCTGCTAGTGCTATGGCTGCAATCAGAATACCAAGAAAACGTTTTTCTCTGCTATGTTCAAGTGCTGAGGTAACTTGTTCAAGGACAGAATTTCCTGTCCATTCTCTCATGAGGACAGTGGGGAGCCACACTTTGGCGGGTTGTCTGGGTACCACAATATGAGTAATATTTAATAGGGAAATATCAAGGTTGGTGACACACGGAGTGAGCCATGTAGCATTAGCTGGTGGGTAACACTAAGTGCTTTCGGGTGGCTAGAAGAACTGTATTCTGCACATGTCAGTTGTTAGACTAAAATGTATGGGCGGGAGCTCGAATCATCACATGGTCAGAGGTATCATGGAAACCCATGTGATGAGTTTACTTATGGGCCAATAGTTGCTAATTCTGAGAATATAAGGGAAAAGGGGGATAGCTAAATGCCACAGAGATTTTTTAAGAGGAGAAATATAAGTGCCTGAGGAGAGGCACGGTAAAGGCCCACTGAGCCCATGGTTCCATAATGCTGAGCTGCTGCTATGAATAAAGGGTAAGCATAATTCCAGGGAGAGCTAGACTTTAGCACTACTAAATTGTGAGGTCCCCGATTTTCTAGAGTCAAACTGTAAGAGAGGGGGTAACGGTAGGTTGGTGACCTACATGAGGCCCATCCCAAATCTGGGCCATCTCAGATGGGCACCCAAGGGTGAGAGCAGGAGGGAATACGGGGCTTGGGAAAGTGTCTGCTGGACCAGGGGGCTCCTCCTACTCTGGCACTGTTAAAAAAAAAGCCTGATGACAGGCTCCCTCCATTTGAATACCTCCTATGAAAATATAGTTCACATACTACTGGGGCCAGAAGGGAATGTGATAGCTACTATCAGTGATGTTGGTGACCACAGGCAAGGGAAATTCTTCTGCCAAAAAGGACCTCTCCTGGGGTTAACGGGTGCCACCCATTAGAATAGCCAGAGTGGCTGCAGTCCCTCTCACAGTCCCACAAGGGGCCAGGAGGTGGCAGCCAAGTTCCGCCTGTATAAGAGGTATCTTTAGAAGAAGGGGGTGGGGTTTGTACCAGATCTCGCCATGTGACTATGTCAAAAACAGGTGGGGTAAGAACATGGGCCCAGAAGACCACGCCACTTACTTACTTACTTGAGGTAAATGTACCAGCAAGCTCAAAAGAATAAGGGACCTTTTTACCTGTGTAGCCTTGGAGTTGGATGTGATATGTGCTATCGTTGCAAGAAACAGGTTTTCAGGAGTGGAGGGGGTTCCTGTGATTTGGAGAGTTTGTTCGGCTTGATTAGTAAGCTTCTTAATGTCTCCCCAGGTGGGTCCTGAAGCATGTGTCGTAGAGGGCAGGGGACCCATCCTTTTCTTCTTTTTGTTCATTCCTGGGGGAAGTTGTATTGCCAGCTTCTGGAGCTCCAGGAGAGGATTGCTTCCCGACTCATTACACATGGTAGGGACGCACAGCCTTTGCAGGAACCCAAAGAAGGCCTATGGGTGACAAAACGGATGCATAACCCCTATCCCAACCACTGTGGATCCCATAAAGGTTGTCAATAAAGAACCAATGATCTTGGTCCTTCCTTTATGGGAATAAAATGTTTTCCTCTGCTTTGAAGCCATATGCATCACAATTTTTAAAATTTAAAGAGTGCTTTATACAATTGTTCCTGTGGTGAAAGTCTCTCTACCATATTACTCTTTTTTTGTTTTAATAACTGAATTTTGAGGAGCCCATTGGCCCATTCTACTATGGCTTGTCCCATAGGATTGTGAGGTGTATCGGTGACATGTTTATCATGCCAGAGTTGGAAGAATGCCGGAAAAGAATTGGAAATATTAGAGCAAATTTCTCTCTATCTTCCTCATGGAGTGGGATAGTGAGAAATCAGTCTTTAAGATCCACAACTAAAGATGATAGGTTTGAGGGATAAAAGCAGGATTAGGAATTTCCAGTTGTTGGGCTCCCGTATGAACTATGTGGACATTCACCTGATGGAGATCATGTAATAGCCTCCACTTTCCTGACTTTTTTGGTATGCAGAAAATAGGAGTGTTCCAGGGGCTACAAGAGGGCTTAATATCGTCACCATACCGTTGCTCTTCCATCAATAGGTGGGCCTGTTTAAGTTTCTCCCTTTCTAGATGCCACTGTTCCACTCAAACCTGCCATCCCAGGACCCACTGGGGGTTGAGTGCTGGGGTCACTATTTTATATTCAAACAAAGGAGGCTTCATTTAAAAAGCTACCTCAGAGCTGGGTGTGGTGGTACAACATGTACTCTCAGCACTTTGAGGGCTGAGACAGGAAGATCACTACAAGTTCAAGGCCAGCCTGGGCTACATAGTGAGTTTAGGGCCAGTCCAAACTACATAAGAAGATCCTGTCTTAACCGAAAACCAAACAAACACAACAACAACTCTCAGCTCCTCCTGAAATCTCCTGACTTCTCCTCTTCCAGCAAAACCTTTAGCCTCAGAATCTGAGGCCTCCATGGGGAAATGCTTAAAAGAAGCTAGCATGAAACATGAAGTAATGCATGCTTATCCTGTTCTTTTTTTTTTTTTTGGTATGGGGGATCGAACTTGGGACCTTGCGCTTGCCTTTGCGAGGCAGGTGGCGGAACCACTGAGCTAAATCCCCGGTACTTATTCTGTTCTTAAGGGAGGTCAAGGACTCCACATGATAGCCTCCCTTCTGTGTGATGTTTAAAGAATTTGCAAAAAACATTTCTAATAGTGTCTGCAGGGGCCATTTACAAAAGGAATTGTAGAGGCAGTAGGACAAGGTTATGAGATGACATCATGGGACTGGATTGTCCTAATAAAAACAGTGCTTACTGCTGCTCAATTCAGTGTATGGCTTCAAGAATATTGGGAAGTCACCACTGCTCAGTCCCCAGATAAGCAGAACACAGGAATTCCCATTGGAATTCCCTGAGACACAATCCCAGATGCATGCCCAAACTTTCATTCAAGCTTCTTGTGCCACCCTTAAGGCACAGACACAAATCCCAGAAACCAATGCCCCTCAAGGCTCCTTTGTCATCATTAGACAGGGCCCTAATGAGCCTGACAGAGATTTCATAAATTGTTTGCAAAATGTAATTTGGAGACAGACCATCCCCAAGCAGTGGATGCTTTAGCCCTTCAATTAGTGTAGCGCTTCAATTGTCAAAGAGCCTTGGCATTCCTTAAAGGAAAAAACTTAAATATTGCCAAAATGATTAAAGCTTGCCAAATGTAGAAACTGAAATTCATAAAGCAGAAGTGACTGCTGTGGTTTTGCAGCCTTGAAAGTGTTACAACTGTGGCAGAGGGACATCTTCAGAAGGACTGCAAAAGCTGTATGTAAAGTAGAGAAGGCAAGCGGAAATGAAAATGTCCCAAATATAAGAGAGGATATCATTGGGCTAGTCAGTGCTACTCTAAATTTAATAATGAAGGAAACACTATTGTGGGAATCGGGAAAGGGGGAGGCTGTGACTCCCCGCACTCTAATAAACCCAGGGAGTCAATTATGGAATGTTCATACCCCAGCATGGGGACTGACCCCAAATCATCATAACCTCTTGACTTGACTTGGCCCTTGTGTAGGATTTAATTTTAGATGAGGCTGGTGAAGGGGAAGATATTAGCCAGTGATGTCTGGGGACCTTTACCCCCAGGACTGGCAGGTCTCCTATAAAGGAAGACCTAGTTACTCCAGTAAGGGCAGCCAAGTCTTTCCTGGTCTGACTGACTCAGACTACATTGGGCAACTTCAGGTTATTATAAGAAGCCTAGGATATCATGTTCTCCCTAAAGGAACCCAAACTGCACCGTTTCCATTTTTACTCCCAGATCTCTTGACAGAGAATGAGAAAGCTTGGATCCCACAGGAAGAAAGCATTTTGGGCTACTAAGTCATCCCTGAATGCCCTCAGACTATTAAGACCCTACAGAATTGCTAGTCTGTCAAATCTTTCAGAAATGTTCTATTAGAGCCCAAAAGATCAAAGGATAAAACTGAACAGAGGAATAAACTACAAAAAGCCTGAAATTTAAGCCTATTATTGAATTTATCTCCACGTTCCCTGGACTTTAAAAATTCCAGGGTCTCTCTGGAAACTGCTTAAAATCATACTGATGGCAGCAATAGAAGATAAGCAAGAAACCCAAGGAATCCCAAATTTTTTTTTTGGTACCAGGGATTGAACTCAGAACCTTGCCCTTGTGAGGCAGGAGCTGTGCCACTGAGCTAAATCTCCAGCCCCCATTTCTTTTTTTGGTACCAGGGATGGAACTCGGGACCTTGACCTTGTGAGGCAGGTGGCGGCACCACTAAGCTAAATCCCCAGCTCCCAAATTCTTAATATCAAGCCAAGGTCTTTCTTCATTCTAGGTTATTCTATTAAATGAGGAATGAATTTACAGGAGAAGGGTCAAAATTCTATTTTGCCACAAGTATGGATCCTTGAAACAAGTACTTAACAGCCTGTGAACTTATATTACTATTATCTGAGGAAAATATTAATAAAGTGTTGGGACTCAGTTTATAAAGCCTTAAAAAAAACTTCTCTACTGCTTTATTTCTCATATGAAAAAGTATCAACTTGACTTGGAAGACACTGTAGACAGAGGTATGAAATTGATGCTGCTGTCCAATATTAGTGATGTACACCAAGTAACAAACTTATGTAACCTAGGTCCTATGCTCACACATATTTTTCCCCTTTGAGCCAATAAAAGACCATGCTTGACCTATAACACCACTTCTAGACTTTTAGTGTTATTTTACACCAATCCCAAATCTAGCAAATTCTGGGCAAATTTTAGAGAAAAAAAAAAAGTTTAAGAGGAAGTCTTTCTAGACCTCAGTGTCACTGACTGTTCAGTATCAAAATCCATTCAAACAATTGGAAGACATGAATATTTAAAATCTGAGAAATCTGCCTATCATGTCAAAACTAATTCTTTTAGCATCCGAGAAAGGTACATAGTGAAATTGTATAAGAAATTAAGACATAAAAATGATGTGAAGACCGGGTGTGGTGACCTATAATCCAAGTACTTGGGAGGCTGAGGCAGGAGGATTGCCAGAAGCCTGGAGAACATAGTGAGTTCGAGGCCAGTCAAGAGTGACATAGCAAGACCCTGTCTCAAACAAAAGAAAACAAAGAGATGTGCAGATGGAGAGCATGAATATAGTATTAATATTCATAAGTAAAGCCCTGCTCATATATAAAAATAAGACCTACATATATATTAATAAAGTTTTGGTTATTGATAAGTTATTATACAAATAAATTATTCTCTGTCCAAAACAGCAATTTTGAAGCACGAATATCTACTATGAATATAAAAAAACACTATTCCATGGCTGGGAATATAGCTCAGTAGTAGAGCACTTGCCTAGCACATTCAAGGCCCTGGGTTCAGTCCCACCACTGCCATAAAAAACCAAAACCACCCCAAAAGGAGTATTCAAAACTATTGACTTTTTAAAGTTTAAATTATTAAAACAGCACAACTATTTTATCTAAAATTATCCCATTAATTGTATCACTGCATTGTTTATACTTGTAAACAGTGCTAGGAAAGTGCTAAAGAAGGACAGTTTCTGATATTTCTGACATAAGTACTCAAGAGTAGGCAAAAACTCTGTTAAGAGTTACAACCTCAAGGAAACCTTGACCTGCTTAAGAACAATTGCTATTTAAATGACAGATCAATTTTTTTTTAAAGCTCTATTTGTGTAAGTTTTGATAGGGTTTGTACTTTATGAGCAGTTGTTACAGTTGTATCTAGATGTCCCCACCTCTCAAGGCCTCATGTGATCACAAGTGGGCAGTTTCTAAGGTGGCTGGATTAGGGTGTGTGAATGTAGATTAAGGATGTGATACAGGGACCAAGGGGGTACATAATGGAAGCCCCACCTAGGGTGTGGGTGGCATAATCAATAGGCTTACAGTTTAGATGGAATATAAAGGGAGAGGGGGAAGGTGGGTGGAGGCTGCCTGCTGCTGCTGCTGTTTGCTGCTGCCTGCTTTGCCATGAACTGTTTCTCCAAGGGATACCTGGAAGCTAGCTGATTACGGACTGAAACCTCTGCAAATTGAAAGCTAAAATAAACCTCTTCCCCTTTAACTTTCAAGTGTTGGGTATTTTGTCTCAGCAATGAGAAAAGCAACTAAGACAGCAGTGTAATTACATAGTTACTTTGGAAAGAGTCTTTTTATATATGAAGATGTAGGCAAGGATATTATTGTTATATAGAATTCTAATATTTAATCCCTTTAAAAACTTTCCAAAGAAGTTATACCAAAGTATAATAAAAAAGCCAGAATTCGCCAATATAATAATTTGTCAAAGTACAGAGGTTATACAGAAATGTTTTGATTCATTTTCAAAACTTTATTTTTGTTTTTTTGAGACAGAGTCTTGCTATGTAATTCAGGCTGGCCCTGAACTCACTACGTAGCACAGGCTGGCACTGAACTCATGGCAATCCTCCTGACTCAGCCTCTTGAGTGCTGGGATTTTTTTTTTTTTTGGTACTGGGGATCGAACTCAGGTCCTTGC